CCTTATTAAAACGTCTCTCAAAAAAAACATTAATAAGATTACAATCTTTGAAAAACTCTTAGAAATTTTCCTTGAAGTTTATTTTAGTAAAGGAGGTCCGTTAAAAAGTCATTGGCTTTTCTAAACAGAGACATATTTACAAAGAGGATGATGGCATAACAACTGAAAATTCAAAAACAATAACAAAACTGGGAACAGTTTTCTAAAAAAAACATTCATGAGGTTGTCAATTCCTGGAAAACAAACAAAATGTTGGCACAGAGTCAAAAATAATATACTAATTAGTGTGTAATTGCATAAATTTACGAGTCAATTTGTAATTGATTCTCTTTATTTACGAGGACAATCTAAAATGACATAAAACCAAAATGTATAAAAAATGCATGATTTAAATAAATAAACCGTCAAATATATTTAACAGAGAAGGTCTAATGTCATCATCATTTCAACCATAGGACGTCTTATGCTGAACAAAAGCCTCCCCCAATGACCGGTTAGTAGCGGCCTGCGTCCACCACCTACCTTTATGAGCTCGTCGGTCCACCTTGTTTTGTAAATAATATTGGTGACTTATGCCAAAAAATACTTTGTTACCAATTAAAAACATTGGGTGACATATTAATCGGAAGCCAGATTATATTCTACATGATAAAAAAATATAATTTAGAAGTAGAAGGAAAAGTAGTCGAAAAATCATGGACACCCTACAAAAGGACATCATAAAAAGGCACTTTATGAGTTAACACACTACGGCACTACATGCACTGAGGGTTGTCACGTCATGAAGTACATAAAATTTGATCGACGCACTTTTTGATAAGGCGGAGTGAAGTCTTACGAGATGTGAACCATAAAACAAAAATACAGAGGCCAATTTCATTTGAAAAAATATTGGGGTTGTATTGTTAGGGGCTTTAGTAAGTCGCCTAGCTATGTCCAAGATTTTATATACTTGTTGTTTAACCTCTGAAAGACAAAATAGCTTCATATAAATAAACTAATCTGACATTACGTTATTTCGTACTATAAGAGATACAGCTATTTATAAATTTCTATATTCATTTCTCGAGTAATGGTGGGCTTTAATCCTATTTCACTCCTAAGAGACAAAAATAAATAAATACACTTACATATCATACCGTAATTTACATATTTTATCAGTTGGCTTTTGAAAAATAAATTTCACGTCCACTGCTGAACAAAGGTCTCCCCCAAGGACTTTCAGAACGATCTCTACCAGACCGTCGGTCCACCTAGTGAGAGGCCTGCCCGCCTGCCACTCGAGAACTTTTTTGCCCCAACGGCCATCGCCTCTACGAGCTATGTGCCCCGCCCACACACCATTTGCAATTTGGTTTTCCTGAGGATCTCCGAAACTCCGAGCATAGCCCGCTCTATCGCCCTTTGGGTGACCTTGAGCCTTTGGGTTTTATTCAGCAACACAAAACATCAACAAAAAAAGTAAATAAAGGCTTATTTTGCATTACAAAAAAAATGTGTTTGTAGCTCCTCGATAGTCTTTAAAAATTAACGTTCCGAAACCAACTCAGGCGTTTTTCAGAGCCTAAAAGCATCTTCAGGCATTCTTCATAAAATCGAGCGTTTTTGTGAGACCTTTTCAGGAATTCTTGATAAAATCATCGGGCTTCCCAAGCAGCTCATAACAAGCTATCTTATTAAATGAAAATAGCATTCTCTTGCTTTAGAATTCAAATAGCGGGGTGAATGAATTAAAACTTGTACCCTCTCGCGAGTGCCAACTAATTTCTTTGTGAACTTGGTTCTGCATGGAATGAGTAAATGAGTTGATAATGGTTTGTCTTAAGGTGTTGTATTACATAACTTGAGTATACTTAAGTGCTGCCAACCCTTTGAGTTCGGTTACAGATCAGTTAAATCGCTAGAAGCAAAAACGAGACAGATCGATCTTAAAAGGCATTTGGTTTCAATTACCAGTAACGACTTAGTTTGGTTTTAATGGATTTTATAAGTGTTTTATTTGGTAGGTAGTCGCCTGGCTAGACAAACAAACTTGACCTTCACTGGTTAGGTTTTTATTGGCGGTCAAGCTGTAGATCCTGGCTACACAGGAGTTGTAGCGGTGGGAACGAGAGGTGGGATTAGTCCCGTTTGGCTAGACAAAACAATTTTATCCAAGCCTGGCCAATAGTTACAACTTTCGGTGAAGTTTCCTTCCAGCTTCGTTCTGATCATCACAAGATGCAAGGTCATGAGCTTTTCCGTTGTGGGTAAAAGGTACCTACTTATTTGTATTATTTTTCTAATACCATTGAGACTAGGTATTTTTGTATCCTACTGTCCTTAACTTTATTGATATTAAATTTAGTGGTTAGGATTAAGGTTATTTTTATCTAAAGAACCAGAAATAGTTATCATCATCATCATTATTTCAGCCACAGGACGTCCTCTATTGCTGAACATAGGCCTCCCCCAATGACTTTCACTGTCCACATCGCACGGTTGGTAGCGGCCTGAATCCAGCGCCTTTCTGCTACTTTTATCAGGTCGTCGATCCACCTTGTGGGTGGACGTCCCACGCTGCGTTTGAAATAGGTCTCACACTCCCTGATATCGCGAATATTTTTGTAGCATCTAATCTAGTAAGTTTTCTATGTAACCCTTTGAGGTGAATGGACCAGCAAAGTTCGCCTGTAAATATAATATAGTCCTTTCCACTAGTAAAGCGCTTTGGGATGAATTTTTAGTAAATACGAAGGAAAAGTGGTAGCATACTGGTATTTAGTTTAAAGTACTTTTCATATGGCGAGTTACCGTTTTACCAACTTTTACCGTTTGCCAATTTGTAACTATTATTTGTTTGCTTAAATTAATGTACTGAACTTTATTTGTCATTCCAACTATGAATTCTACTTGAACATTCAAGTATTACATCATCATAAATACGAAAGGAATATTAATGGTTATCTTAATGAATTTGGGTCCAATGACAGTTTAGCTTTCCCCCGGGAAAAACTTAACCTTCACTGGTTCGGTTTTTATTGACGGTCAAGCTGTAGATCCAGGCTACACAGGAGTTGCAGCGGTGGGAACGAGAGGTGGGAAAAGTCCCGTTTTTAATAAATATCTAAAAGAGATTAAAATCGAATCAATCTCAAAAATTATAGACTTACCTATCGAGTAGCCTCTGCGGCAACTATGTTAAAATACTGCAACATTCCCCAAAACTTCTTGCAAAATTTTCATCCATGCGCCCTGCCAATCTCGTCCCCCTTTTTATATTGTTTTTGTGAAAACTGCCGGCGTCAATTCTGAGATTAATAAAATGTAAATGAAGAGACAAGCCGTGCTCCTCCGTACAATTTCTCAAAGTCGTTTTTAAGTAAATGCTTAAGGGGACGACTAATGCGCTAAAGATTTTGGATTTAAGCGCTAATTTGCTAGTTCGTGGAATAAAGGGATTTTTGAAATGTTTTCTTGGATATTGACCTTAGAAAGGTATTATAGGATTTTGCAGGAAATTGTATTTTTTAAGAATATTTGATGTAAAAAGATTATTCTGGTAAAATTTTATGATAATTGGGGCAATACTTCTATTTCTTGGTAAGCAGACAGAAATTCTTTTTTAATGCCATGGTTGTGGAACCATTGTATTCGTTTTCTTGTAACATCTAAGCAATATCAACAGCGTTTGAAGAGTCCCATAAGGGAAGGGTAAGGTTTTTTTAATTAAGTTTTTGACGTCAAAAACTCATTCTAATTTCATTTCCGACCTTTTTTTCCCTCAAAAAAAATTATATTAATAATAAAAAAAATTCGATGTTCTTCAGTGTCTCAAGTTTTCTTCAAAAATCTTGAAAAATATTCTTCTTTGGCATCTATTCTAATATAATATTCAAAATTAAATTATCAAATTGGATTTGGTAAGCGTAGGCGCAGACTACTGATTTTTAACCGACTTCAAAAAAGGAGGAGNCATCGCCTTCGGGGGTACAAACACCATCGCCTTAGTGGGCCAAGCGGGTACACACACCATCGCCTTAGTGGGGCAAGCGGGTACACTCACCATCGCCTAGCGTGGCAAGCGGGTATATCCACCATCGCCTAGCGGGGCAAGCGGATACACACAGCACCCCTAGCGGGCCAAGCGGGTACACACACCATCGCCTAGCGTGCCAAGCAGGTACACACACCATCGCCTTCGGGGGTACAAACACCATCGTCTTAGCGGGCCAAGCGGGTACACACACCATCGCCTGCGGGGCAAGCGGGTACACACGGCACCCCTAGCGTGCTAAGCAGGTACACACACCATCGCCTTCGGGGGTACAAACACCATCGTCTTAGCGGGCCAAGCGGGTACACACACCATCGTCTTCGGGGCAAGCAGGTACACACACCATCGCCTAGCGAGTACACTGCTGCACCCTCATGCGGGATCAATCACTCAGTCGAGACTGCGTGGCACGCGCTTCAGCGAGCACGAGATCAAGCTCATGTACCGCGGCTTCAAGCAGGTACACACGCTGCTCAAGATTACCTTCTTACTTCTAGGTCACGCGGGCGTTCGCCAATGCGATGGACAGACCTGATCAAGACTGCTGAAGACGGTACCCTACATGAATGTAAAGTTTACCACCAAGAGGCAAAGATGGCAAGAAATCCGCCCACAACAATCCACATTCCTGATGATTATGATCACTCTGTCAAGAGTGTAACTACTGAGAAGAAGAAGAAATAGGTCTAAGTTAGCACCAATTCGAGCCCTCATTATCCGGTAGTTTATGTCCGTTTTCACTGACAACATCGAAATTGAAGAATTCCCTACATATGACATTTAGGGAACCCTTCGTTTTCACTAACAACAGACGTCATTTTACTGCTAAAAGTAATTGTACCACTAAATACATAATATAGAGATATTGTATTGCTCTATTTGCGAAAAAGCGTTAACTTTCATTTACTTATGAGTGTCTTAATTGGGTAAAAATAAAAAATAAATAAAAAAAACTTTGTTGCAGGAATGTCCTTCAGGCATGGTGGACGAAGAGGCCTTCAAGAACATTTTCTGCCAGTTCTTCCCGCTAGGAGGTACATATCTAGTCACATACTCGTATTTGATGTTGTTTGCATAAGAACTGTTCGCATTAAGAGTTAATTATTCGTTGCAGACGCATCGCAGTATGCGCACTTCGTGTTCAACTCCATCAAGCACAAGCAGAGCGGGAAAGTCAACTTTGAGGTGAGAGAACACTTAAGGCAATGAAAGATTTTGTCATTTAACAGGACTAATTCCGTTTTGATTACGAGAGATTGAAAAAGTAAAAGTACGAAAATCATCCGACTCGATCGCGTTCAGGTGAATGTAATTCTTAAACACAAAGATAAATAAAATGATTTTTTTACCAGTTTCTGGTGAAGAATCAAGCTACCTACCCAATTTTTTCAGATTCAGACACACGCTGGCAAAATTTGTTTTAAGTCATTGTAGCACCAAAAATTGGCTGGAAGTTAGAGAAAACCCATCACTGCCGGTCAAGCGAACTGGTCCGGCCTGTTCAGGACTGTCAAAAATAAACATTTGAAAAAAGCGCTCGGATGGAAATTCAGTCTAATGCCTGGCAACATTCTATACACTATAGTATAAGTTCGTGACACCTAAAGTGGCCAAAAAGTTGACAACACAACCTTATTCCAATTGTAACAACGGGTGGGACCTGGAGTCCTGAAATACAGGGCTGCCCTACATTAGGCTCCAGTCACACCATTCTCTTTTCCTTCATAATGTATGTTTAGTTCTAATTGTAACTTTAGATGTAATGTATAAGCCCTATATTAAGGTGTGAAATAAAAAAACAATGACCTGTTGCGTACTTCTGGGCTGCTTTAGGTGTCACGAACTATTAGACGCTCACAGTCACTGCACACACAACATTCGTCATAAAACATGCCTTCGCCATAAAATAAGCTAGAGCCTACAGTGACTTTAGAATGGTTTAGATAAAAAAGCCTTTCACTTTAAAGTAGGTACCTACGCCTTTTGTAAAGCTAGCGAACGAACAGCTCCAATAGCCATCAAATAAGCGAAAGAAAATAGCTATTTGCGGCGCCTCAGCCGCTCGAGCTCGACGGCAATTCTCTTAATAACTTTGTAACCTCCTCAAGAAATGACCTAAGAAATTGCCTGTCTACAAATAGACTGGGATAAAATCTTAAGATAGGCTGTACTTAGTATCCTAGGTCCAATTTATACAGGAAAAAAGATCAGGTATTTTTTGAAATGGTAACATCTCTATTTTTCGGCTCTAGGGTTCAAAAAATGAACTAAAACTTAGATTTTAAAGTCACCCGGCCATTGTGGAAATCATTGGGTGAGAGTAGTCCGATGGTTAAAAATTGATATTTTAATACCAATTTTGAGCATATTAGTCCAATCAACGAGGAGATTCGTTGTATATGATATTCTTGAATGTTGTTGTTTTTTTTGAGGTTTTCCAAAATTCTGATTTCGTAAATAATTGTTATTATAACCCAAAAGTATCGGTAAGTAGGTAAGTAGGTACTTTCTAGTACCATTGATTGGAATAAATAATACCTTTATAGTTACACATAACATCATATCGGGAATACAACGCTCTATCTTATTAATAATATCTCCATCCCCCAATAAGCTAATTGAGAGATCCACAGTGTGACCTTCAAAACATAAGACAGTTGTTTGTTTACTGTTTGCCAACAACGCGAATGCTTACAAGACGACTGGCATTAACGGTTCCACTTTACGGACTTTGGACACCAGCCAAATGTGTACTACGGAGGTGTACAGTCAGCCTTTGACAAAATAATGACAAGATTTTTACCCACAAAGTGGACCGACGACCTCGTAAGGGTAGCAGGAAGGCGCTAGATGCAAGCCACTACCAACCGGGCACCGGGTGATGTGGCAATCATTGAGGGAGGCCTATGTTCAGCAGTGGACGCCCTGTGGCTGAAATGATGATGAAGATTTTTAGTATTGTGTTTCTAAAATCACTAGTAATTTTCATTTTTTTTATCCACAACGAGTAAGCTCTTGGCCTGTATCTCACCTGATGGTAAGTGATGATCAGGCCGAAGGTGGAAGCGAGCTTCACCCGGAATCCTCAACCACGGAGGAACTGGCTGGCTGAGAACACTGGAAATCTATCAAAAACAGTGTTTTAATTAACTGCTCCAAAAAGTATCTCAATTGACTAAAGTTGTCACATTCAATTTTATGAAATAAAGCTGTTCGTGCTTGACTGTACCCGTTAAGGTGGGTACAGATTAGAGCATCAACTTGTAGCAGAACAACGAGCCGCTTTACGATATATTATTATGTTATGTGTATGTGATTTATAGATTTTTTTTCTCCTATTTCACATTTTAGAATAATGCTTGAGAAAATGTTCTAGTGTGTATCCAGCTTTACATTCAATAACGATCGAGACATTTCCATTATAATGTCCTTATTAATATTGTTAAGCCGCATCAGAGAGAGCGAGACGGAAATATAGTACCTATTGTTTGTTGGAAAGAGACGCAAAATTAGAGTAGATAAATATTCATTATTTTTTTCTGATGAAAAACTGCCAAGTGCGAATAGGATTCATACACAGAGTTCCGTATACAGGGTGTCCCGTAATGTAACGTCAAGCCGGAACTGGGTGTTGAGGCAAGTTGTGCTGGTTATCAGAAAAATATAAAAAAAAATCTATGTGGCATATTTTAAAAATAATAGGCATTTCAAAAAAATCGAAAAATTCTACTCCAGGTGACGGTCCTTTTACTCGTGTTGCCACAAATCTTCACTTTTTCCAAAATTTTTTTTTGTTATGTAACCCTGAATAATGCTTCTCTAAATTCTTATCAAAATTACAAAACCAGCTGCTCCAGCTTGGACGAAAAAAATACATTATTCCCAAAAAAAATTTCAAAATAAAAATTTTGCCTAGTTTAAACTGACTGTACTGAAAAAAAAAAAATGTACTACGCGAGTGTGGCAAGTGACGTCATAATTTGGCGCATTTAGTAAGGATTCCAAAATGGTATAACACTTCCCATCAAAAACAATACTTGTCAAAAAAACCAAGTCTCGCAACTCAGTTGTTCTACGGTAAAAAGTTGTGAGATCCATGTAATACCAAGTCCAGGCCAGGAAATCTTTAACGTTTTACATAAATATATTGACTTGGCCATCGCATGAAAACACGTGTAAATTAAATTATTTAGTGCGATGGCCAAGTCAATAATTTATGTAAAACGTTAAAGATTTCCTGGGCACTACCGTGCCCCCAAATATTTTAGTTTTTCCTTGATTCATACACCAAACACTACTTATATTCCAAATTTGAAGCTTCTAGGTCTGCTAGAAGTGCCTTAGAATTTTGATGATAGGTGAGTCAGTCAGTCAGTCAGTGAGTGACAAAATTAAGAAACATTGACCCGTTATAATTCTTAAACTACTGGTTCAAATTGAATGAAATTTGAAATATACCGTGTCTTTACAATGCCTGCATGGATACTGAAAATTCAGTCTTCTAGTTTTATCCACAACGATGATACAGGGGGTCGAAAATGGCCTGAATTGCTTCGAGAAAAGGATGGTACGGCCGTGCCGCTTTTTTGCTCGACGTGGTGGGGGCACTACCGTGCCCCCAGATTTGAGATATAAAAAGAGTTGGCGTTTTTTTTTTCATTTTTAGGTAATTAAGTAACTCTTTAAGTAACAATTAAACCGGTTAGATGTCATCCTAATTAGGAAGCGGTCCGGAAGAGGCGGAATTAACAATGTGCCGTTGGCTTCGCGCCCGCCCGTCCCGGGCCATCCCGGAATGCAATTACCTCGCTGCAGGCATTCATATGACAATCGCCGGTAGTACTAGATAGTAGCTTCGTTAAAAAGTAGCCCTGTATTTATACTGAGCTACTGTATCTATACAGGGCTACTTTTTAAAACGAAGCAAATACTTGAAACTGGAAGCAAACCGACGGGTCTCAATCGCGACATTTGAGTCTGTTTGTAACCTAACACAGCTGAAACGTCAAGTTGGTAGCACTAAGATACTCACGAATTGCATGAAAGTAATGAAAGTGTCCCATTGCTCACAGTTTTAAAGGCTCCAAAGGATCAAAATTTTTAAGAAGGATTCTGTTGGTCATGATTAAAACAACTTTTTTATGGGACCAAATATAACGAGCGAGATGAAACATCAGCTGTTCCATAGTTTTATAACGAAATAGGAACAATTTTCCCCACTCCCACTCTTTGACTCCTGTCTTATAATATTTTTATTTGGGTATATTTTTACATTTATACAATTAATTTAAAACTAATAACCATAAAATGTTACTACACTTCCCTGGACATTGTATAATTTGGATGCGCACGATTAACAATCTTCCGGCTGGCGCCAAGCCAACGGATCACGTTCGTGCTACACCCCCGATGAATTACCTATGCGGCACTCTGTAGCTCGGACAGTGCTTAGTTATTGTGGAAATAGCTTGATAAATTAGACTTCATAGTCAATAAATACTTAGGTTGACTTGCACCACCTAACTTTAACGGTCACTATAACGATAACCGGCGCATTTTGTATTTAGTTTGACAGATTATTGACGTTTGTTAAAGTTAAAGTAAAATGGTGCAACCCAGCCTTAGAGTATTGGCTTCTGCTGCTCACCAAAAGCATTCTTCTTCTTCTTTTCGTGTCGACAACAAACCTACACAGTGTCAGCCCAAAACTCCGCCACAAGAGTGGCGTTGTCAGTAGCACTCATCAAATCCTCCTGAGTGCAGTTGCTTGGGCACTCAGGGCACGACATCAGGTGCTTCATCTACTGGGGAACAAAACCGCACCTGCACTCCATGTTTAAGCCATCCAAGAATCCCCACCTGACCAGATTAGATACTAGTATTTAGTAAGTGTTTTAAAAAAACGATTACCTTATAAGGTTTAAACTATTGCCATTTTAATTGAGACAATTCATAGAATTGTCTCATGTTTGGGAAATGTATTAAGTAGATATCATCCTGTAGATATTACTTATGAAACGAAATATTCCACACAACTTTCGTCTCATATTTACACCGGGCTGCGACTTTTCCAGGTGACTTCGCGGTAATGACTACCTATTCAACGAATTCTAAAACACAGAATTCTAGTCCCGTTTGCAGACTGAATAAACCTTTATGTAGCGTCATTAAACGTAAAGTGCCCACATAGCGGCACGCACTGATCACTT